CTGTTATGAAAAGGAAACACAATAGTCTTTCAGTGAAGATACTATTTAAAATGTACCCCTGACCTTCCCAGAAGGTCATGAAGATGATGTCTAAAACTGAGAAAAAAATAAAGACCTAACAAAAATTCCAGAAAAAGAGCAAAGAGTAGCAGCCATCAAGAGAAAGTTCAAAAGTTTGAAATTGGACCAGATTGTCTTTGAATAGTTTCCAAAGAATGTCTGTGGCCATAAAACTTGCAGTGCACACACGGAAAGTAAAATAGAGCAAAGGTTTCCAGTCTTCCTCACTCATCTTCTGAAGCTCACTTCAGGTTCCAGTCGCCACATGTCCCGGGGCTCACTTTCAATCGTAGTTCATTCTCTTATGAAAATGCTTGAAACTTCCTGGGTTAACATTGGGCATTTCTGCTCACATGACTTTTTGTATTCCTGCACACCTGTACAGACTTTCATCACATCCACCCAGCTCAGATTGTGTGAAGAATATGTGAGATTACTGATGGTAGAAGCATCTACATAAAATGAAATCAAGGAGTTCCTCATTGTTTGGGGAGCAACTCAGCGGTGCTTAGACAAGACTGGGTAGGAGATAAGTGTGAACCACCAGCTAACCTGAGGGAGGGCAGAGTATGTAAAGAACAGACTCAAACTTTTCATCCTGGGAACTGGAGATCAGTTCTGACTTAGGAATTGGTAAAGTCTGAGTCTTAGTGGAAAGTTTGGAAAGGCAGACAGGGGGACTCTAGACTGAGGAACAGCGTGAGCAGAGGGGAGGATGTGGAAGAACATGAACCCCTCAGGGAATGATATGAACCCCAAAGAGGCTGGGCCAGGCTCTGGGGTCCGAGGTCTAGGGGGATGACGGAGCCAGATTCAAGGGCTTTCTGAGTCCCCGGCCCATCCAGAGATTCGGCCCCTCCCCGGAACTGTCGAATGAATGAAGAAATGGAGAGTGCATACCTTTAAGAGGTAGGTGAGGATTAGGAACCAGGGAAGAGGAGCAAAAAAAGAGTAACTGAAAGAGTAGAAAATGAATCTGAGTCGTAATATTTCACAACTGGAGTGAATTAAGAGCCCCAAAAGAATGAGGAAAAAGGGTGTAAAACATTACAGAGGTGCGTGCCATAGCACCAGAAAGTAGGAGTTTTGGGCCTTGTTATGTAGTGGATCAGTGCCTACTCCAAGGATGGCTCCGATGAAGGAAGCAGCAGAAACCCAACAGTAGGTTAGGGTATGTGCACACGAGGGGAGCGGGTACAGAAAGAGAGGGGAAGAGGACAGTGAGGAAGGCTGATACCAAGCCTGAGAAAGTGTGTTCTTTTCATAGGGCACGTGTGCACAGGGGTCTCAGTGGGGGTTCCCTTTCAAATACCTGCTAGGGGCGGGAGCAGGATGATGATGAAACAGAAGCTTACAGGATGAAAGCAGAAAACCAATCTAACGTGTGAAATAACAGCAGAATTTTGGATGGGGGGGGGGGAAATAGGGCCTCATAAAAGATAACTGGACCAAACTTTCTTACAAAACTGAGGGAAAGAGAGAGAAAGGAAATTGAAGAGAGGGTTTCAGGTGGGAGGTATGGCATCTAAGGTGTGCCACCAAAGCATGAGGAGAGGTCACCTTTCAAGAAAGGCAGAAAGAGGTGGAGATGGAGTTTAAGAAGTGAGCTGAGCCTGGCTGGTGTGGCTCAGTGGTTGAGCATCAAACCATGAACCAAGAGGTCACTGGTTCAATTCTCAGTCAGGGCACATGTCCAGGTTTCAGGCTTGATCCTCAGTAGTGGGTGTGGAGGAGGTAGTCAATCATTGATGTTTCTCTCTCATCAGTATTTTTATCTCTCTGTCCCTCTCCCTTCCTCTCTCTCTCTCTAAAAAAAAATAAATCAATAAAAACATGTGTTTTTTTTTAAAAAAAAAGAAAGCTGAGAGATCAAACTTTCTCTTTGGAAAGGAGTGGAAGGGTAGAGGGTATTCTCTGGTTCTCAAAATGGGGGCCAATGAGCGACACCAAGGAGTGGTGGGGAGGGGAGTCCCCTCAGTGCTGGAAACACAGGCTGGCTGGCATATGCTGTGTGTATTCCGGAATCAAAAAGCTTACTGGGCGGAGAGGGCTTCTGTGCTTGTTTCATGAAGCCTTTTGAGACCTGAATATATAAGGAGCTCCTTCCATCAACACATAAGTAGACAAAGAATGGTGCTACCCTCTTGGTATGCTCTAATAAAGTAAATTCTTGATTTACAATGGAAAGAAACTTGGGCATATGCAGATTACAATTTCAGATCTCACAGGTCCAAAATATGTAAGGGAACTAACCAACTTTATTCCTGATACAAATTCAAAATACTGAGGAAATGCTAACGAATTAAAAATCAATTGTTCATTGAAAATTGGGGGGAAAAAAGAGTATAATAATATCTGCCACTTCTAAACAAGTGGAAGAAGCAGTAAGAGAAGGAACATCTGTACACATCAGCAAAACAACAATAAAGGGAGTGAAGGGTCCTGATTATTTAAGTCAGATAAGGAATGCCAGGGAAGCTTACAAAAGATTTTAACAGAATTACAAGCACAAAGAATTCACAATTTAGGGGGGGGCGGGGAATGGATGAGCATGAAAACAACCTATCTTCATTTTAGAAAACAGTATCACCACCCATCTCCCTCATAAAATCCATTTACAGTGTCCAGCACACAAGCAAAATTGCAAATTAAAAGAGACCAGAGGTTGGCTAAAAGGTGGTAAACAATGGGAATTGGTAACTGACAGGAAATGTAGCTGTGGACAAGGTGCTAGGCCTGCTTTTAGTCAATGCATTTCTAAACCTTCTGGAGGAGGTACAGAATCCCAGGCTCACACAGGCTGTGATGACTGACTTGATAGATGGTGGTGAATGAGGACACAGAAAGATGCAGAATAGAAATATGAGCAGTAACCCAAAACTCCACTTCCCCGTGGGATGAAATTGCCAAAATAAAAGTAAACCTGAATGCAAATAGAGCTCATGGAAAACACCGTTTTGATGGCCTGGGGCTGATAGGCCAGCCTGTGCTGATGGGACCTGTAAGCTGATCCGCCACTTTGTTACAGATGGTGGTGAACGGGGGAAGGAAGACACCAGGTCTGAGGGAACAGAATGCTGTGCGAATGCGGGTTTCAGCTGGGCCACCTGATAACTGTATATATTTGAAAAATTAGAGAGTTCTTTGAAGAGCAATAATAATGATTAAGGCAATGGAAGAATTGATTTATGAGGACAGATTAAAGGAGCAAAATATGAATAGGTTGGCTAAGTGACAACTAGAGGGGTACATAATAGGAGTCTCTGAGGAGAGAGAATAATTATTTAGCCTGCTACAAGGGGGTATAACTAGGAGTAATGAGATGAAATTAAGAATAGAAAAATTTAAGCTGAATTTCAAGAAAAACTCCCTGACGGTATAATTTATTAGCTCATGGAATAAATTCCCTATGGAAATGCTATAGCTAGGGAAAATAATAGGACTGGACAAAATACCAATAAATAATATAGATAATAATCCGTTATTTGAAAGAAGGTTACATGCGATGCTTTCCTTGTGTATAATATCGTCTCATATGTTTAATAGTCTATTTATATATAGTAATTGTTACCCAGAGGAGTATTTAGTCAATGAGCTAAATCTAAAAAGAAATATGTCCTTTAGTGAGGGGAGTTGAAATCACCTTAGTTGCCATATACTCTGCAGTAGTCAGCTAAAATAACTTTTTACTCCTTTGTTTCAGCTGAATTGATCTGAAAGTAACTGGACAAATGTATTCATTTTCCAGAAAACAGAACACAACAATAAAACAACCCTCATCTACCACCCGACACAGAGTCCATTGCTTCTTGGTGCCAAGGAAGTCATATTTTCATAGATGTGTTTCGTATAAATTCAGTGCCATAATAGAAATAATAATAAAAAAAACTTTATTTCAGCTTTTCTAAATGTAACTCTATGGTCAATTATTTCACATCAATACCCAGATCAAATAGGTATAATACTAACAAGTGGGTTGCTTCATAATAGTCACCACATTAATTAACCCATCCAGAACATTCTTAATCAGATGCTATTTTTAATGTACAGTTAAGAAGAGCTTGGCAATAAATGGCACCAGGCTAAAAAAATAAATAAATAACACCTTCCTGAGGTGGGGCGGGGGTGGCGGTGAGGTTAGGGGGAGGCTGTCTTTTCTACAGAACTGGGCAGAGTGTCTGCCCGGGTTAACCCAATGACGGGACTATGCAAACAGGCACCAGTCTGAACACTCCTCTCTCTGCTCTGCTCCAACTCGGATGCAGGTGCTGAAGAGAAGAGGAAGATCCCATGTAAGGATTGAGAGAGTCAGATGAACGCCACAGAGCTGCCTTTTAGCACATATGCTGTTCACTGTTTAACAATCCCCCATTTTTTCCTTCAAGAAATGCTACTGCTCACAGAACATCTTTGAACTGTTTTTACCTTCAGAAATATCCTGATCACTATAATAATCACTTCTAATCTGTTATTAGCCATAGACTCCACCCCCAACTATTTTTCCAGCCAATAGTCAATCTGTGCAGCAGCAGTAGTCTACCTACTGCAACCTCTCCTTTCAAACACCAGTCTTCCCCTCACTTCTGCCCCTTGACATGGCTCCTGAGCCACAAAAAAGATTGTGTTGAACAATCTTTAAAGACACAGCTGGAGTGAGTACTAGCTAGGTCTACATTTGATTGCTTCCCCATCCGCCACATCTAAACAAACACAGCTAGAACTGAACCTATTGGAAGGGCCAAGGGCCTCATTCAGATTAGTCAAGGAAAGATTAGATTTGAGAGAAGCATTAAAGACTGTCACAATTGATGGCAAACACAGGAAATGTTCCAAGCATTTTAGTTATTTCTGCTGAAGTTTAGATGCTACAGTCTGTGTAGCTGACTAACAGAGGTAGTCAAAAGGAAGGAGTTAAGACAAAGTAAGGCTATTTAGGATGT